TTTGATTTGTTTCAATTTTTAAAATTAAAGTTATATATATATATATATATATATATATATATATATATATATATATATATATATATATATATATATATATATATATAAAGTATTAAATACTATATATATATATATGATATTAAATTGCAATAAATACGTTTCTTTATTTCTTATTTTAAAATTATACATTAAAAAATATTTTTTTTATATTTTAATTTAATATTTAATATTCTTTTAAATTAACCCGTGTAATATACGGATCTTATACCTAATATATTTTTATAAAAGTAATCTTCATGGTATGCAAATTAAAAAGTATTCGATTATTTATCAAAGAAATTCTAGAAGAGCACGAAATTTTGAATTTAGCAAATATAGTGTTTTTTATTTTTTAAACAAAATGGTCGATGTTTTTTTAAGGAGGTAGTAGTACTTGACTCGATTTAATGCCGTGGGGCTGTCACCACGTCAGCCACGTGCTGATGGCCTGATTGGCTTGATTTTGATGACGCGCAGATTGAATCTGAGACGACCACGTGTTATCGTCAACGCTGCCCTGTGTACTATACAAATGGTGGTTTCTCACTTCACCCCGCCTATTTATCTGGTCGGCCAATAGCGTTTATCCACTTTTACCCCCTTAACTATGTAAACAGCACAATTTATCCCCTTTTGGTGTTATTTATTACGTTTTCGGCAATTACGTCATAACTTAATGCAAACTACAACCTACGAAATTGGTGCCGACAAGTTTAAAATGTCAACATAGTAAAAAATAATATCAAATAAACTTTCAAGAATTTCATAATTGATGCGAAATATATTTCCTTTCAACAAATAAATTAAAAAAGTTAACCTGTGATTAAATTATATTTATAGTATAAAATAATATTAAAAATTAAAAGAAACAATCATAAAAAAAAATTTATAGTAAAAATCAACTAGTAACAACTGGTAGAGAGTATTTAAAATACATTTTTATTAATAACCTTTAAAAAATATAGATGTATGTTTATGAAAGTATGCCATATATATAGCACAATACCACATAAAATATAAAATAAATTGAAAATGTAAAAGTTTCTTGAAATGTAAAATAGGAAATAAGTTTCATCAGGCAAAATTATTGAGGACGAAATAAGTAAAATAACGAAGGGGGTAAACTGTAAATTCTTCCTGGCAATAAAAAAAAAAGGAATACACGACAGCCAGCATGGTAATGAATTGGACAGCTCAATCAGCACCGTCTACGGGATACTTTCCACGTGTGTGTCTAATGTGAAGTAATGTGATTTTAATAATTAATTATTAAAAAGTTATTAATAAAAACGACCTATTTTAGATTTTATATATATATATATATATATATATATATATATATATATATATATATATATATATATATATATATATATATATATACTTAATGGTATATAAACTTAGGTACCCAAACTCACCATACTATGTTGTTTTGTATCATATGTGTACATTGTAATTGTCTAATGTTCTTATAATTCAACTTCTAACTTGATTTACTTCTAAGATTTTTATAAATTTCACATTTATCTTCCTCTTACATAATTTTCATTTTCAACTCTAATATATATAACTTAATAGGTGTTCGGCAAAAAGAAATGATATAAGAGAAAAACAATAGTGAAATTTCAAAAATCTTCAAAGTAAATCAAGTTAAAGTTGAAGTTTAATAACATTATCATAAATATATCAAATAAAACGACTAATTATAGTGAGTTTGGGTACCTAAGGTTATATACCCTTAAGGGTATATTCACTTTTCCCATATATATATATATATATATATATATATATATATATATATATATATATATATATATATATATATATATATATATATATATATATATATATATATATATATATATGGAAATGTGAATATACCTTGTAATTGTTTTGTATCATATATATACATTGTAATTATCAAATGTTCATATAATTCAACTTCTAACTTGATTTACTTCCAAGATTTTTATCAATTTCACATTTATATTCCTCTTACATAATTTTCATTTTCAATTATAATATATATAGCCTAGTAGGTGTTCGGCAAAAAGATGTGATGTAAGAGGAAAATAATAATGAAATTTCGAAAATTTTGAAAGTAAATCAAGTCAAGGGTTGATGTTTAAGCACATTATAATGAATATATTAAACAAAATGACGTATTATAATGGGTTTGGGTACCTAAGCTTACATACCTTAAGGGTATATTCACTTTTTTCATATATATATATATATATATATATATATATATATATATATATATATATATATATATATATATATATATATATATATATATATATATATATATATTCAAGAGAAATTCAATATCCTTTATTTTTTTTTTTCTTCTATAATTTTCCTATATACTTATGATATTTTTCATAGTAATAAATTTTTATTATATTTGTCATTATCTATATACTTAATTGATTTTTTTGAGATTTTTAAATTATCATGTTTGGTAAACCAATAAGTAACTTATAAGGTAGCTTTTTTAAAAAGCTACATGAACTAGCTTTTCGAGAGTTTTTTTAAATGATCCAAATATATACCTTAATTAATTATAGAAAACACATTCTTTTAAATGTTTTTTGTCATTTTATATCTTTCAGATAGCTTACCAACTAGTTTATCAAACATCATTTTGTTATTAGCTAGTTTTTCAGGTACCAATTAATTTTTCATATAACAGCTAGCATTTCAGCTAATGCATATAACGGCCTAAGTAAAAGGATATTTAATTTTTTTTTTTATTGTAAAGTCAAAATTTTCAACTATCAATAAAAGACCACAAAGCATAAAGCATTTGAATATTATTCGTGAATTAGTTAAATATACATTTTATTTGTTTATTTATTTATTTGAAACCGGCAAAGCAGTTATAAAATGGCTAACCGACAATCAAACTATTTGCTTGGGATTTTTGTTGTATTGTTATAGAGAATTTAAATTCTTTTCTATTTTTTATCTTATTTATTTAAGATGATGATAAGTGTACAAATTTAACATTCCAATCAAATTTAAATTAAATTAAATGACATTCATCATCATATAGAATAGATAGGAAAATAAAAGTAACAAAAAAATATAAAGATATTTAATTTCTCATTATTATAACTACTAACTACGGATAGTGAATAAATATTACATTCCGCAAGTCATTCAAACACCATTGTTTTCGGAAGGGAATGAGAATCATGATAGCAATAAATTCTCACATATGATAGTCACTAAATAATTGAGAAGTTCATTACCTTTCAAATAAACACGAGTTTATTTAGGCAAATTAAAAGACCGTTTGAAGATGATATTTGATATTCTGAAGATGAATATTATTGTTGTTGCAATCTATTTCTTGAAGTCGGAAGGCCATCATTTGAACTTATATTTGGCGGACTACTTCCAATTAAGATGATCGATTATATATTTAAAGCGATGACGGTGAATGGAGAAGACAACCAAAAAGGCTCGGAAAAAATCCAAATACTTAAAGAACGTGCAAGAATTCTCTTAGTAAGGTGGAAAGAAAAGCGGTAAAAGATAACGAATATTAAGGAAAAAAATTAAAGTGACAGAAAACTGAATTGTTGTTGTAGATAAAAAGATTGACAAGTTTATAGCAAAACAAGACATTTTTAAATTAAGGGGATTAACAAGTTTATTAGAATGAAAGAATGTTTTAATCATGAAAAAATAATATACTCTTAGGACATGTGCCCTCAATGAATTAGATTTTATAATTAGTTGTTAATAATGTAATATCTGTATTATAATAATTTCCATTGTATATAACAAAAAGTGTAAATACATCACTAATTATGGCGTGACTAAACAATCTTAGCCATTTATTGAGGATAATCCTATCATTTGCTATTTACATATTCTAGATTAGTTATTATTATTATTTTTTTTTACAAATTTGGTTATTGATATTTTTAACTTTTTTATAACTAGTTTTACAAATTATATTTTACATTCTCATTTTTACATATGGTTTTAATAAGATTTTTCGGTCTTCACATCTTTGTTTTTTAAGATTTTCTTTTTACACATTAGTGTTTTGTTACAAAATTGTTATCCTATTCATTTTACATATTCGATTTTATTAATGTATAGTTGTATATAACAAATCAGTTTTCTACATATTCGTCTTCATATAAAAATTCCTTTGGTATGTAAAATTAAACGTAGTTCTTTTATAAAGGTTATATTGTACATGCTTCAGTTTTTTGCATCAACATCCAAATTTGTTTAAAAAAGACTTAAAAGCTATCATTATTTTTGTTTAACAATTTATATATTTTTCTAAAGCCTAAGTTTTTTTTTTTAAAAAAATATAATTTTCTACTAAAAGTGTAGAAGAATCGGTGAAACACATTGATAAAATAGTTGCTCTGAATATATACAAACTCATAAACTTTTATTATTTGATTTCAAAACTAATAACACAATTTTAATCATTTCTAGGTTTCTGCTGCAACCAACGAGAATGCATCCCCTAGTTTTACAACAAACAACAGATGGGGAAAATTCGTCAGAGCAATTTTCGGTTAAAAACGAAAGACGTGAAAACCATGTTAGCATAAGGTTACCAACAAAATGATTATTAATCTGATCAAAAGTCTTCTAACTCAACGATACCAGATGTTGTATTTTTTTTTCTTGAGTTAGAATATTCAAATCTCGTGTACAACATAAATGAAATTATACATAATTTACGAATAAATTAGATTTGTGGTTAAGAAAAAATTATTAACAACCTAATAAATGCAAAAATGCAAAAATGTAAAAAAGTTCGAAAGTTTAGAATTTAAAAAAAAAAAATATATATTACGATAAATCCATTAAAATGACAAATTTAAAGATTTTTAGTGCAATTTCTCTTTTTAAAAAAAAAAAAATAATAAAAGATTAAATGAGCATTTACTTGAATAGTTCGATTAAAAATTTTCAATATCTGTACTCCATATTTTTTAGTATAACCCAAGAACACGTGTATTGTGACGTGGAATGTTGCCTCGTCCCTCTCTACATCCTGCAAAAAGCCCACACTTCTTCCCTCCCTCGTTTTAGAGAGAGAAACAAAATGCAGCAGATTTTCATATAACTCAGGTATCTCTAAATTCTGAGCTTTTCTTGATCCATACTTCTAAACCCTTTGTTGCTACACAATTCACTTGCAAATTTAGTAATTTCGATCATAATTACTTGATTTTTTATGTTTTTTCAAACGTTCGGAGTAGAATTTTCGTTCATCTGGATTCTGCTGTTTTTTCGTTGATTTAGCACTAATTACGATTTTTAGTTGCTTACGCATAGGATTTGATGAGAAATCTATGCATACAGAGAGATCAAACTGAAGAATTCGGGCAAATAAACACAGCGAGAACTAAATTTTATTTAAACTCTACAATTAGAACGAGTATCTGAAATTACTGAAAACATTGCGTAGATATAATCATATAAACCAACTTTCTTGTTTGAAGCTTCCGATTATAGTATTGACTATTTTTTTCATTGATGTTTTAAATATTTTTATATATTTAATTTCTATTTTACTTTTTGGAGTGTAAATACGAGGATTCTTTTGTATATCAGTTACTAGTTCATCCTAGATTGCCAGATTAGTAAATCTGGGTGAGTTGTTTTACTTTATCGTCTTCAGATGTGGATCAGAGGAGAAGGACAACAAATCAAACAATCTGTACCTTTTCTTTTTCCTTTTTTCTTTCCCCCTTTTCGCTTTAAATCGAGATCATAGATTTATAAAGTGATAACTGGTTGGTTTGGGGGGAGTAATTGAAGTTGGAATAAACACGATCCAAATTCTTACCCGATTCCAATTTGAAACACACGTATTAGATAATTCAAGAGATAAACTTGATATGAATATAGATCGAGTAATACCACGTTCTAACCCTAGGAGACGTAAGTTTTCCCCTATGTATTTTCATGATCTTATTGTTTATTCATATGATCGCTTCATCTGCAGCCGACTCATCAAGTATTTAACAAAACAAATCTTATAGATAGCTCTGATCATTGAAAGGTCAACATCATCTTGGAATCTTAAGGTGTTTGTTTGACCATGGCGAACTCTGAAGAAGCAAAGAATTGTAAGCCTGAAGTAACATCTTCTTCACCTCCTCAAGTAAGATGCAGAACAACATTCGGATCTTGTATTATGATTTTCAATTATTTTAATTATAACTTTTTTTTTTTTAAATTAACTTTAACTTGCGATCAGGAGCAGCAGCAGCAGCAGCAGCAACAGACCAGTCATGTGTATCCTGATTGGGGAGCCATGCAGGTTTATTATATTAATTATTAATTATTAATTATTAATTAAGTAATAATAATTATAACTGAACTAAAATTAAGCTTTTGAAACTAATAAAAATTGATCTTTTCAACATTATATTTACAGGCTTACTATGGCCCAAGAATGGCTATCCCACCTTACTTCAACTCAACTGCTGCATCTGGTCATACACCTCCACCTTACATGTGGGGCCCACTACAGGTATTCCACCATTATTTTCTTTAATTTCTTTGAATATACTGAAGCTTAAATAATGAAGATTATACAGTTGACCTTTTGTTGACTTCTTCTTCTTCTTCAGCATATGATGCCACCTTATGCTGCAATCTATCCACAAGGTGTTTATGCACATCCAGGAGTTACTGTTGTAAGTTTCTATTACATTTATCTCTTAAAACATTTTTTTATATAAATTTCATTGAAATTTTTATATAAAATTTAAAACAGGCTGCAAGTCCTATGCATGTTGACTCTCTTGCCAAGTCATCAGGGAATTCAGATCGAGGATTGATTAAGAAATTGAAAGGATTTGATGGGTTAGCAATGTCAATAGGGAATGAAAATGGAATCTCTCACAGGTATGCAAATTTTATATATTTTTTCAGATCTAAAAGTCATTAAAGATTAAATTTTTATAATCTTTATACAGTGGGGAGACTGAAGGTTCTAGTGAAGGAAGTGATGGAAATACAACAGAGGTAAAATAATAATAATAATAATAAATAAATAAATAAATAAATAAAAAGTTGTAACATAAATTGTACAATTCTTTTATAGTAAATGATGTTTAAAAATTCTTTCATGTTACTTTTAGGGAGCTAAAAGTGGTCAGAAAAGAAGCTGTGGTGGATCATCTACAAGTTGTAAGTTTCATTTTCCACTTGATTTTTAAATTATTTTTAGGGTTACAAATATTATTTAAAATATTATATTTTTATTCTACTAGCTGAAATTGGCAAGACTGATGACCAACTTCCTTCCACCAATGGAAATGGAAGCTTAAAGAAAGTGAAAACTATTACTGTTGCTACACCTAATGTTACCATGTTTCAGGTATTTTTGTTTCTGTAAATTTAAAATTATCCAAATATATTTTTTTAAAAAAATAAAAAATCTAAGTTTTTGTTTTCTGTGATTTATGTCTAGAATGAGAGAGAATTGAAAAGGGAGAGAAGAAAACAGTCTAACCGTGAATCCGCCAGGAGGTCTCGCTTAAGGAAACAGGTAAAAAAGAAACTCTTTAATTATTATTATTATTATACAATTTTATTCTTTTAATTTAAAAAAATGAATTATTCAGGCTGAAGCTGAAGAACTTGGAACAAGAGTTGAATCTCTCACCAGTGAAAATTTGACACTCAAATCCGAGATTAACCGATTAACTGTTAATTCATCAAATCTGAAGCTTCAAAATGCTAAATTAATGGTACTTGCGAAAAACGATAATTCCCTCATTTTATTATTATTAAATAATACGAAAAATTGGAATATAATGCGGTTCTCGGGTTACAGGAAAAACTCAAAAAGTCACAAATCGAACAAGACACAGAAGACCCAAGGCCAGACAAAAAGGGTTTGTCTCTCAGCACTGCTAACCTTCTTTCCAAAGTCGATACTGCTTCTGATACTGGTATTGATACTGATACTGGTGGTACTGGTGCAACGTTGCGTCAGCTTTTGGGTGCTAGTCCTAGGGCTGACGCGGTTGCGGCTGGATAACCCACAAAAGATTATAATTAATGTCTTTTGTGTTTTTAATTTTTAAAAGTTAATTGTGTAATTTGGGTGTATTTATGTGATGGAGTTAGTTCTAACGGTTAAGTAGAGAGAATTAATGTTATTATCTTAAACAGGAAGTGTGAGTGGGTTTTAGAAATTTGTGAAGCAAACTGAAACGTGATTTTAGTTTTCAGAGTTTGCTTGGAAGTTGTAATTAATTACCTGATATTAATCGATATACATGGTTTGTGTAATGTATAAGATATGTTGGTTGAATGGTTTAGGAAATTACCAAAAACAAGAATTTTTACTTAATATGGACGTAATGACTTAAAGGGTTAAGCCATAAGACCTGGCTTAATGTATTAAGACATAACTCTTTACTTATGCAAAAAGTTTTGGAATGTAAGGTTTAAATGATCGTTTAGGCTTATTTTGTTTATTCAGTAAAAAAAACAACAAATCTAATATAGTGATATGTAATCATTAAATCATTATGAAAAAAAGTTAACAAGTCCAAAAATTGTTTCTTTATGCATGTTTGTATAGTGTTTCTTGGAATAATCAAATATATGTCTTATTATTTTCAAAGGTGGGGGATTATCGTGGGTGTTTGATTAGCAAATGTGGGGTCTCTGTATGGAATTTTGAACACTAGAAACTTTCTTGATTTATAAGGAAGGATTCTTTTGCTTTTCTCAAACGGGCCAAGTACCAAGTTTGAGATAAGATGACGGTGGTAGCGTGGTAGGTTAAAAGCGGCCTTAGCAAATATTAGCTAAAATTCTAGAAAAAAAAATGTATTGTAGTTAGAGGTGGCAAAAATTGACACGACACGAAACCCAACCCGATACGAAATAAACGGGTTTGGGTAAGATATTTCAACCCGTTTAAATAAACGGGTTGATATGATACGACACGAAAATTAAACGGGTAAGATTAGGGTTGAGAATTTCAACTCGAATATGACTCGAAAATGACCCGTTTATTTATATGCAAATTTTTTGAATTATTTAAATAAATTAGAAAGATACAAAACCAAAACCATAAGTAAAAGAAAACCTTCGAATTGAGTCGTTTTGTAATGTTGAATTGACTTAGCCGTCTAGATCAAGACTTAATTTCAGTTTTTCCATTCTCTCCCAAACTACCCAGTCTTTTTTACCACTCTCACATCCTCGTGACCTTTTCATCCACCTCTCCAACTCCTACTCTTTTAATTTTGTCATCTGAACTTGCTATGACTTCATCTATTCTGCCTCCAAACTATTAGTTTTTCCTCTCCGCCTACCTAACTGTTACTCTTTTAACATGCTCAATCTTTTAACCTCACATGACACGACATATTTCAAGGTATAGCTGTAACCCGAAACCCGACACGAACTCGACACGAAAATAAACTGGTCGACACGACACGTTAATTAAATGGGTCGGGTTAGGGTCAAACACTTTCAACCCGTTTAGTGTTTCGACACGACACGAACCCGACACGACTGCCACCTCTAATTGTAGTTATGATTTTTTTTTAGTTTAACCATTAAAAGTTTATATATTTTTCAAAAAATAAATAAATAAATACATAAATAATTGCAAATAACGAACAAAAGATTAAGTTTCGGTTAAGATAGTTTTTTGTTAATTATTATTATTATTATTTTTTTTAACTTTCGATGATTAAATCGAAAAGAATATTTATTCCAAAAAATTTCCAAAATCTCGGTTTTGGTTATGTTTGACGTACTAACTGAAAAGCTAGTTGATAACTGAAAAGTTAGCCGATAAAAAATAATGTTTAGTAAAACTAGCTGAAATAGAAAAAATTGCATAAAAAGACATGTAAGAGTATGTGTTTCTAAAATTAATTAAATGGTGCATTTGGAAAATTTAAAAAAAACACCTAAAAGCTAGTCTAAGTAGCTTTTCAAAAAGCTAGCTTATAAGCTACTTTTTGGTTTACCAAACACGACAACATAAAAAAGATAAAAAAAAGTTCGAAAAAAAAGCTAGCTTATCAGCTAGCTGTGGCGTACCAAACACAACCTTTATAGGATTCAATGTTTATGTAATAATTTTTTTTTTCAATATAAAAGCAAACATTCAGTGGATAAAATAATAAAAATAAAGTCTTTCGCTTACACCGAAAGAAAATCAAACTAGGAATATGTCCAAACTATTAATGGTTAAAGAGGTTTTCAGGGTTCATGAAAATATCAAAATTTGATTATAAAAATAAAATTTTAATAAAGTTATTGTATTTTTTTAATAACAAAAATACACACCTATTAAACATATTTCTACTTTAAACCTTTTGTCCACCATATCAATTGAACCCTCAACTACTTAAGGAATAATCACTTTTCCAATACATCTAACACTAATAGTGTAACGTTTCAAAATTTACAAAAAAAATCATTTTAAAATAGATTTACCGGTTTAAAACTTTGTTTCAAAAAACATTGGATAATATTTGATTGATTGAAAACCATACATTATCGGGGTTAAGTTCACAAAACTATAGAAACAAATATCTTCAATGTGTTTGTACAGTCCCTCCGAACTCTTCTCACGAACGACCTGCAAAATGTTTAATCCACAACTATAAACATAAAGCTTAGTGAGTTCCTCAATATACAGCATATTCCACCATATATACAATGCATCCACATACAATCCTCGACTCAAGAGCCGATCAACCAAAACTCCTAAACACACACACACACACACACACACACATATATATATATATATATATATATATATATATATATATATATATATATATATCATACCGAACAGGCCCCGCCCAAGAGTTTACAGGACCATCCCAACTCATATAGTGGCCCCCGCCCAAACGTACATAACAAGCCCCGCCTAACCGTACATAAAGGGCCCCACCCAAGGAGTAAACGGGTCCAACCCAAACTCCATTGATAGGAGCTACATTATGGTCTTCAGTACTATTGCCAGGGGCCAAATCCTAGTCTTCTATACTATACCAAATCCATACATAGTCGAAATCATATAGACATTCGAATAGATGATCCACCCAAAAACAATAAATAAAAAAGAACCATGTAGTCGGACAGTAGACCAAGAGTTCTCAGGCTGTCCAACTTGACTGCATACAATCCTTTAGGTTAAAAATTCAACAACCATTCAATACTATCACTACCCTAACCAATAATGACACCTAGCAGTATCATATGATCAACATGCAATACCTTACCAGTTTAGCATACCAAGATACCAAGTGTCCTATATTGCACAAGCATAACACGAGTCATCCTAGTCAACTAGTAAACTCATACCCTAACAGTACCGCTATCCTACCATGCAAATTATATATAATGGGATACGTGGCATAGTAAGAAACTCACCTGAACTGAAGAATCGGAGAAACAAAACATTACTCTCACCCCTTGCACCGATCAATACCGTGAACCGACTAACACCAAAAGAGATAAATCCCCAATCAACAATCCAAATCCTCCAAGTTTGACTCAAGGTCAAACTAGTCAACAATCAATGGTTAGCAAAAGTCAACTGTCAACCATGTCAACAGCCACCACGACGTGGAGACCTCCTGGTCACATCGTAGGCATAACATTGTAGGCATAACAGGACAAGCTAGATGACATACAGTAAATCGCCACATCGTGGGCACTTTCGAACAAAATAATTGTGAAGCTGGACTCCACCACGTTGTGGTCATTCCTTGGTTGCGTCGTGGTTACTAGTAAAAGCCATTTTCCTCATTAGGGACTTAATCCATTAAGACTGTAACATCCTAAAATTTAAGTCCGGGTTCTTAAATTAATAAAGTAATAAATGAAAAATGATTTATTTGAATAAATCACCAAGGAAAAATTATATCATTAATTGATATGAAGTTAATACAACTGGAAGTGAAAATAATAACATTTAGATGTTAAAGGGTCAAAAGTGTCAAGTTGGCAAAGTGGGTTGACCAAAGGGTTAAATCAATTACTGGAAGGGACTACAAAAGTTATGAAATGGATGGAAAGGGACTTAGTATATCCTTTCTCAAAGAAAAACCACACATATTGGAACAAGGGACCATTTTTGCAAAGAAATGCGAAATTATAGGGTAGGAGTTGTAAAATCGGGAAATGAGAACACGATCTCTTCTCGTTTCAGAACTTAGATTGTAACGCCCGTAGATCTGGGCTAGTTAATTTAGAGACGATAAGAGTCAAAAATGACTTTTTTATAGAAGAGTGTTTAGAATGAATAATCATAACCAAGTTGTAGTATATGTCACAAGGTTTCCATGCATATAAAGAACGCCGAAATCCGAGTTATAACGAAGAAGTTATGACATGTCGAAGTTTCGCGACAGAACCGACACGACACAGCGCGACGTAAATAGTGAATGTACGATAGAGCGATATTTAGCCTTAGCAATCTAAACGAAAGTTGTATAATACGTTAAACCGAGAGCGTACATAAAAAGAACGTCCAAATCTGACTTCGTATGAGGAAGTTATGATTTTTCTAAGTTTCAACTTAGCAGTATGCAGCTCGAAGTTCGACTTTGAGATCAAGCGATTTTTAGCCGAAACAATCTACACGAGAATCAAAGATCTCTTCAATGGTAGTGCAAATGTAAAAAGACTGATAAAACCGGACGTCGGATGAAAAAGTTATGAATTTATAACTGAGTTTTCTTGTCCCGACCTACTAAAAATAATATATTAAAAATAAATCAAAATTAGCCAATGGAGTCTAAACGAGAGTTGTAGAGCATAATCTCACCTACGTGTAGATATAAAGAACGTTGAAAACGGAGTTCGTATGCAAAAGTTATGAATTTATGAAGTTCGGAGCGAGAACCCCAAGGCTGTGTCAGAGCTCACGAGGTGAGCATTAGTGGCTCACGAGGTGAACAGATGATGGACGTCTTCCAAGGCAAGTGGTGTGACATCCCCATTTTCACGGCCAAAAAAGACCGATTTTGTTTATGCTTTATAAAAATCAGAGTACTTCATTTTATAAAAATGTTGCGGAATTTGTTCCCAGAAAACATGGTAAATACGTTATTAAAACATTTTTGAAGAAACGTATTTATTTCATTTTAAAACGTTTGGGACGTCATCGTTAATACAGAAACATAAGCATAAACAGAACTTACAATTATTTACACTAGTGATCTACATCTCTTTAAATCTTTCAGTGTAATGTCACTTCATATCAACACCTGTGATATAAATAAACTGAGTGGGTCAGGTTGGGAAACCTAGTGAGTACATAGGGTTTTCAACCCACAATAATATAATTATTATGTTTAAACAATCAAACAAT